AAAAGCATCCATTTTGTCAACAGGGTTATTGGAGGAGGAGATTCTGGATAGAGAGGAAGTAACAGAATTTGCAAATTTGGGCTGATCATTAGTAGCCCAGTTGTGATAATTAACAGATCAAGACAGGGAGGTGTTAGAAGCTGCGAATTCCAGATTGAAAAGAATAGCTAGGTGGTCAGAGAGTCCAAAGTCAAGGAAGAGCAGTCAAAGACAAAAGAGCCATTAGAAGTGATAATGTTCAGGGTGTCCTTTGATATGCGTGGGGGTGCAAACAAATTGAGTTAGGTCAAAACATTCAAGTAAAGCCACAAAATCTTTAGCTAAAGTGGAAGACTGAATCAAGGCATACAAATGAAAGCATGTCAGCAAATTCAACTAAGAATGCTCTACTAGATTTAGGTGGTCGATAAACAGTAACAATAACAGAGGAGTGGGGCACACAGACCTTGAGAGCAAGGCATTCAAATAAAGAGAAAGAGGGTACGTTATCAGGGGATAAAGAGTACGACAAGTTGTAAATACCAATTATTCCTCCACCTTTGCCCAAGAGATGTGGGAGGTCAAGCAAACCGTACCCTGAAGGGGTGAGTTGGTTGAAAAGGAAACCAAAATTTTGTTGTACCAGGTTTCAGTTAAGTACAGAAGGTTCAGCTTATTGTCTACAATTAATTCCGAATAAGTAGTGCCTTGTTATTAGGAGAGCGAGTGTTCAGGAGCGCTGATTTGGCCTTTCTTTGAGGATCCATGGGAATCAGAGTGGAGTCATGACATTTCAGTGTAAGTAGGCACTTGAGGTCAACGCTAGTGCTGGATGGTCTTGCAGCTTTACGCTGATAAGCAGGGATTGATACAGCACAGGTACTTGGAAGGAGGAGACGCTGTCCAGTGCCACAATGCATGTATCTCTTTGGTCATAAAATCTTAGTATTCTGGCAGAGATCATATGTGCCTTTAGCCAAAAAATAGTTCAGTTTTTGTTGCAGTGCAGTGCACCTAAGAGGCAAGACTCAGAGATCTGGATACAGTAGGGAAAAGGAAAAAACAATGTCCAGTTGTTCACAGTGAAGAGCAAGAAAGCGGTCCGGTGATCCAGGGAAGATTCGGAGGTGAGTCAGCAGCGAGCTGGGGCAGATTGTGAGACAATTCCAGAGAACCAAGAGATTGGAGAACTCAATCCAGGGAATCTAAAAATCCAATAAATTAATCCTAGTAATCAGAGTTTGAATTTCAGAAATTAAAGTAGAAATTTAAGAAAGTGAAAAAGTTGAAAAGAAAAAATTGTAATTGGTGTGAGGAGTGGCAGCCAAATTCACCAGCATTCCCTCCACAACCAGGAGGAGAGATAGGAGAACTCCTTCTACCTCAGAAGTCAGGAGGTATTTTTTTTTTTTTTAAATAGAGCTTTATAATCACAACAATAAACGCTATGCTTGGAGAGGGGTCAACAAGACCTTTAGTGACAAGAATATTATCCCCACTGTGAAGCATGGTGGTGACTCACTGATGTTTTGGGGGTGTGTGAGCTCTAAAGGCACAGGGAGTCTTGTGAAAATTGAATGCAGCATGTTATCAAATACTGGCAGACAATTTGCATTCTTCTGTGCATGGGACTCTCTAGGACACTCCAGCATTACAATGATCTTAAACACAAAGCCAAGTTGACCCTCCAGTGGTTATAGCAGAAAAAGGTGAAGGTTCTGGAGTGGCCATTATGATCTCCTGACCGTAACATCATCAAGCAAAACTGGGGAGTTCTCAAACATGCAAGACGACCAAAGGCTTTGTGTGACAGACCCAACCAAGACAGGAGCTTTTGCCCCTAGCCCCCTCCAAAAACCCCTGCCCTGGTTGGGTCTGTCACACTTTGCATGACCTGGAGGCATTTTGCCAAGAGGAATGGGAAGTAATACCACCTGCAAGAATTTGGGGCCTCATAGACAACTATTACAAAATATTGCATGCTGTCATTGATGCTAAAGGGGGCAATACACAGTATTCGGAACTACGGGTATGCAGACTTTTAAACAGGGTTCATTTAATTTGTTGCCATGTTTTTGTTTTTTGATTGTTTCATTCTGTTTGTTGAATATGAATTTCATAATTAATATAAGGAATGTGTTTTCTCTGCTCACTCATATAGGGAAATTACAGATGGGCAGTGGTTCTCTTGTTCTGGGAGGACATCATATGACTTCCTCCCACTCTAACTGCATGTGCGGGCCCCCGGGGGCGGCGATCAGCAGAAAGAGCCCATGACTTCAGCTCTGTCATATGATCAGCTGTGTCCAATCACAGCTGAACGCATGTAAATAAGGAAATGCCAGTTATCTGCATTTCTCTCCTCGCGAGCTGTCACGCTGACAGCTCATGAGGAGAGGAGAGCCGGTAATCGGCATTCCTCAGAGGGGACATCTACACTGATCATCAGTGCCCTGATGGTCAGTGTAGCCCCAACAATGCCACCTGTCAGTGCACATAAATGCCACATATCAGTGCCTACCAGTGCACATCAGTGCCGCCTCTCAGTGCCAACTATCAGTGCGACGGGCGCAGCGTCAGACCCTAGTCCTTCTCACCAACTTGTGACTGAAGGACTAGCCAATCTAAAACCGCGCTGTCACTTGCGTAACAATGCCACTCCCAGCTGCACCCTGCACAAAGATTTTCCAGCTTACTGGACCCCAATCTAGGTGCCAACAGCTTGAGAGCGATTGTTACTGGGTCAGGTTAATTACGCAATTAACCCTTCACACTGCCACCACCACCTTTTTACAGAGAAGGAGGAAACTCACAAATCTTAGCAGTAACACTATGATGTTTGAATAAGCGTCTGTATACAGAGGTTTTAAAACACACAGTAGCACTCTTCAGAGGCAGGGATTTTTAATTTGCATTGAAGAGCTTTAGAAACAGTTCAACACTTTTCAGAAAATAGGATTTATTACTAAAAAGGTCAAAATGGTGCAATAAAAATATTTACAGAAAAAGATGTAGCATATATATATCTAGATACAGAGAGCAATAACACAACAGAGAGATAACAGAAAGATGTTTAGGGAGGTAGAATACTTGCCAAAGTCCTTGGTTTAAGCAGATTCAAGTGTCCTGAACAAAAGGGTTACCTTTTCTCCCAAAGTTAGTTCCTGATGTTAAAAGGGAGAATCTCTTCATCTTACCTCTCCAGGCCTGACCGCCTGTTTTTTAGCCCTCAGCAGGGGGTGTCTACTGAAGCCAAGGGCCAATCGCCTCATTTGGGGAGGGGGTTTAGGTGGAGACCCAGGCTGTGACCCAAATCCCTCACCAGTTTATACCATGGTTAATAACCTTCCATAGGTACATGTAGCATCCTATCCACTGGTAGGATAATATGCAGAATCATCTGCTGAACGTCCAGACACCAGATATGACATATCTGCCTGTGACGGTTAAAAATATATCGCTTTTTCTGCTCTCGGGTAGACGTTATCTAGGGGTGTAAGGTATCAGATGACTTGTATTAAAATGTCCTACCTGAATATATGCTTTGTTTTATTGTACTTTTGTTCCTGTCTGGAGTTATGGATTTGTATGAAAAAGTGATTTCGTTGGAATGTACATTTTACTGCTACTCCGGAATACTTTTCATGTCCAGTGACTGACGGATTTATAGCTTTACGATCAGGCCAGAGCAAGAGTCTGGCAGACCTCATGGAAACAGCTAATTGGTTTTACAAACATGAAGTGTATCCAGTGTGCCCTGTGCACTCCTGAACTCAGCACACACACAGACCACATGCCATTCAACAAAAAGGGAGGGGGACTGATTTGGAGTGAGAATGACACAAGATGGTGGATCTTAGAAAAATGGTTGTCCGTGTCCATATCTGTGCACACAATTGCTACAATCAGTGCCAGTCAGTACTGCCAATCAGTGCCAGTCAATACCGCCTATCAGTGCCGCCTAACAGTTCCAGTCAGTGTCACCTAACACTGACAGTCAGTGCCGCCTATCATTGCCATATGAGTACTGCCTTTCAGTGCCCACCAGTGATGCCTGTCAATGCCCATCAGTGCCATCTATCAGTGCTGCCTATCAGTGCCCATCACTGCAGCCTCATTAGCGCACATCAGAGGAGAAAAATTACTCATTTACAAAATTTTATAACAGATACGAAGAAAAAAAACTGTTTAAAAAAAATAATTTCAGTTTTTGGTTTATTTAGCAAAAAATAAAAAATAGTGGTGATTAAATACCACAAAAATAAAGTTCTATCTGTCTCCAAAAAATGCAAAAAATTTTGTTTGGGCAAAGTGTTGTATGACCGTGCAATTGTCATTCAAAGTGCGACAGCGCTGAAAGCTGAAAATTGGCCTGGGCAGGAAGGGGGTTAAAGTGCCTGGTAGACAAGTGGTTAAGCAAAATCTCTCTCTGTAACTTTTCCCAGACTTCAGTGATTGTGACTTTGCTCCTTATTTTCTGTTCCAAATTGATTGCCACTGACTGATTTCAGTAAGCTGTCTGCCCTGACTATTACATGTTTCCTAGTCTGATTCCTGTTTGCTGCCTGCCCTGACCTCTTGCTTTTCTTTGACCATAATTTCACTTCTGGATTAGGTACTTTGTATTGTTCCAGTTTTTGCCAGTCTGTGTGTATCCAAGGGCATCAGCCTGGTAGACATTCAGTAGCATTATCCATCCCTCTTGCAGTGTGTTGGTGAATACCAGATGGTTCTTTAGACTCTGAACTTCTTTAGGGCTTACATTGGCCTAGTGACACCTACAATCAAAAATTCAAGAGAATAGGAAGTAGACTCTGGGCCACATTTGAGGTCCCCAAAATCTAACTAGTTACCTACTCCTGATCTTTGTAATGCTAGCCTTGTGCTAGGAGAATGAAGAGCAGAGCTACCTGATTAGGGCCAGAATTGGAGGTGAAAACAAGGCTACATTTGGGGTTGTTTTACACTAGAATACTCACTATATCTTTAGATTACCAGATCAGATATTTTTATTTTCACAGGTTTTGAAGGCCAGTCTCCAGAAATAACAAACATTTTGGACATTCGAGGAGAATCAAATCGTGAAATTGCGATGAGAATATCCTCAGACATAAACAGCCAAAATAGGTTTTACTCTGATCTAAATGGATACCAGGTATGTTACAATAAAATAAATGAACACATTACATTATTATGAGGGAATGTCTTTAAAACACACTTAGCAAATAATTAGTTAAAAGGTTCATTTCAATGAATATATTTTCTTTTGTCTCTGCGTATTTAGTCAAGATTTCTTTCTTAAAACATATATTTTGTTTGGTAAATCAGTTTTTCCTCTTGTAATAATAGGCAGACGTGTCTTAATGTGCAGGAGTAATCTGAATCTCACAAAGTAATCTATATCCTTCAATTCAACCTCCTTATAGGCGTATTAAAGAATTTCACTAAAGTACCATTTTTGTATCTAAAATTGTCACCTAACTACATGAAAGCTTTGGGAAATCTGCAGAGGATTCTATGAAAACAAAGATACCATATAACATATACCAGCCCTTTGAATCCGCCCCTGTGACAAATATACATGCATTTACTTTAAGGGCCCATTCATATTTTCCCAAGTCATCTTCCAGGACAGCTGCACATGAGAGAGAGGCTCCTCCCACCAAGAAACACCTGATCCACTTTTTCCCAATAAGTAGCCTCTCTCTTCAGGGATCCTCAGTATAAGTGTTTCCTCCGGACCAGGAACTACTCCCAGTTTTTGTTTTTTTATGGCCGTCTGGCGGGGTACAGAGGCCTTCTGGATGGGGCTATCCCTCCCTCTTCTTCACAGCAAGGCAGGGGCCTTGCAAGGTGGCCTTATTCAGGGTTCCCTAGACAGATTTTTTTTGGAGATTGGGGGAGACAACACCCCTCTTCTATGGTCCTGTGGGGCTCACCAGGGGTGATAGAGCCTGCTCTGCCGACCTGTTTGGGAAGGGAACGCTACCCTGTTGGGTAAAGCCTACCTTCCTCCGCTGCACGCCAACATCTCCGGTGAGGAGGTGCAGGTCGCTGACGTCAAGCCCGGGATCCACGAGCATCATGTCTGTGCCTGAGGAACAGGAAGTGGACCACAGCCATCCTGGATATGGGCGGCGGTCCGCAAGTTTATGTCCATGGCCGCCTCTCCTACTGAGGCCGTGAGGGAAGGTTGGCGCAACTGGACCTGGGGGAGGGGGAACACAGCCATGCGAAGGGTGGGAATACAGCCAGAATGGAGGCGGATCTGTCTGAACTGGGGGAGGCCAGCAGCAAGGTAGGAGCCTGTCGGCTGGCATGACCCCCTTCTCTGTTCCCCTCATTCTTCCTCCTCCCCCAAGGGGGGGTGAGCGGGGCCCCCCAAGGGGGTGGCATTCTCCCCTCTCCATCCCTCTCTTTCCCTCTCTCTTCGGCAGCACAGGAATCTCTATATCTGCCAGTGGGAGCCCTTGGCTTACACAAGGCCTATATCTTGTGTTTCCCTTAGATGGGCCCACTGGAGGAGGATAGGAAGAAAAAGGAGGCTTTCTGTGAGACAAAGAGAGAGTGCACTACCTGCAGAAAGAAACTCACTAGTGCTTGGAAAAAGCAGCTGTGTCAGGAGTGCATCGATAAGCTGATCAAAAAAGAGTCGGGGTCCCTCTTCAGAGATTTCCTAAAAAACAGGACTCAGGAGATGTCCTAAACTTTAGGGAACAAATGCAGGAACCGACCCCAGACTGGTCTCAACCCGGCACCTCAGGCATTTCCCCACCGGTCAAGAAGAGGAAACAGGACCAAGGCACTCTCGCGGACTGAGAAAAGGAACTTTCCAACTCTGAGGAAGGCGAGATGGAAGAACAGGATCACAAGTCGCAAAGGTTCCTTTTTCCAGTAGAAGATAAAGAAGGCCTCTTGAACTTAATCTACACTCCAGACCTAGAAGAGGAACAACCGGATGTTCCCCCTGTCAAATAAATCAAAATCCACGGATCTATCCTTCAAAGATGGGGGCTCCCTAAAGGACCCAATTGACCGCAAGGTCGACACATTCCTCAGAAGAGCGTGGGAAGCTTCTACAGTTAACGTTAAATCAGCAATAGCAACAACCTGCGTTTCCAGAACCCTAGACATATGTCTTGGCCAGCTCCGCTCTCACCTTGAACAAGGCACACCGGCAGAAGTGTTCTTAAATCACTACTGGTTTTGGAAAAAGCAGTGGCCTTTGTTGCAGACGCATCAGCTGAAACCATCAAATACACAGCAAGATCAACTGCGCTCATAAACTCAGCCCGAAGAGCCATTTGGTTGAAATCCTGGCAAGGGGACATTGCTTCCAAATCCAGACTTTGCTGCCTGCCCCTCGAGGGAAACCTCTTTTTCGGGCCAGAACTGACTTCGGTCCTCAAGAGGTCTGACGACAAAAGGAATGGATTTCCAGTTCCCAGCAGGCTAGCGGGGACTGAAAATGTTTTTGAAACGCCTACAGGATAGAATTTTCATAAACTCCCCCCTCACAGGTTCCTTGCGACTCCACTGCCAAGGTAGGAGGGAAAGGTGGGTGCACTTGTGAACCTCCTGGAAGAAATGCTCCAACAGAACATGGTCAGTCAGTTGGAGGAAGAAGAAAAGGGAAGGGGATTCTACTCCCATTTTTTTCTAAGAAGGAAGACATCTGGGAAATACAGAATCATACTCAACCTAAAGAAAGTGAACGAATTTGTAAAACCCAGAAAATTTCAAATGGAGACGATCTACATGACGAAAGAAATCCTCCCTCCCGGAGTATTCATAGCATCAATAGACCTAAAGGACACATACCTTCACATCCCGATAAGGGAAGAGTCAAGGAAGTTCCTAAGGTTCACGCTTAAGGGCAAGAACAGAACAATCTTGTTCCAATTCAACGCACTTCCCTTCGGTCTGTCTTCTTCAGCGCCAAGGATATTTTACGAAAATTCTAGCGGAACCTCTGCAAGCCTTGAGGCTAGAAGGGATAAACATTATCCCCTACTTGGACGACCTACTCTTGTTTGCGGACACGGAAAGAGCTCTGAAATGCCATGTGGAACATACAATATCTTCTTGGAAACCCTAGGGTGGCTAATAAATACAGAGAAATCACAGTTAGTCCCTTCCAACAGAATCACATATTTGGGATACGTTCTGGATTCCACAAGCACCTGCTTATACCGAACACCAGATAAAGTGCTCAGAGTACAAGACATGAGGCCAATTTGCACAATCAGAAACACTATGAAGCTCATGGGCCACATGACCGCAGTCATACCGGGGGGTACAATGGGCGCAACTACACTCCAGAACGATACAAAATTGTGTCCTCTCTCACTGGGACGGCAGCCAAGCATCTCTGGATTCTAGCATTCACCTCAGACGCAAAGTGAGAGTCGTTGGAGTGGTGGGGAAACATTCACATGCTGGGAGATGGGAGAAGATGGAAACAATCCAACCCAACAAAAATCACTACAGATGCAAGCATATGGGGGGTGGGGCGCACACATGGAGGGCTGCCTGACAAGTGGGACCTAGAAACCGCAAAAAGGTCATCAAACTTCAGGGAGTTTTCAAAGCACTCACGGCCTTTCAGGAGAAAATAGAAGGGAAAGAGATTCAGATCCTGTCAGACAACATGACGCTGCCGCATACTTGAGCAGGCAAGGGGGTACAAGGTCCCCAAAACTAATGGAATTGGCAGAAACCCTCCTAAGCTGGGCAGAAAAAAAACTGAAATCAATCATGGCAGTATATCTGAAGGGAGATCTAAACCTGTTAGCGGACCAGCTGAGCCAAGAGGAAATCAACCAGTCAGAATGGTGCTTCAGTCGCACAGCGTTCGCCCAGATCTGCAGCAGATGGGGCACTCCCTCCATAGATCTCTTCACCAACAGAAGGAACGCAAAACTAGGGAAGTACTTCTGCCTTCAAAGAGAACCTCAAAGTGCAGGGACAGATGCACTGGCCCAGCCATGGGAGAAGAACCTCCTTTATGCTCTTCCACCATTCAGACTACTACCAAGAATGGTACAGAAAATACAGATGTCTCAGGCGGGAGCCTGAGCATTGCCAAAGAAATAGACTACAACAAAATTGATGTAAGAAGATGCCTAATTGCTTACATCGAGCGCACTAAAGCATGGAGGTTCTCGTCCAGCCTCTTGGTCTTATTTCAAGGACCAAATAAGGGATACAATGCCTCTAAAGGCACCATCGCAAGATGGATAAAAGAAGCCATCTCAGAAGGATACAAATCTTCGTCGTGGCGCCACCACCTGGCTTGACAGCGCACTCAACTAGGGCCACTGCAGCTATGTGGGCAGAGAGAGCTGGCGCCTCACCCGGACAGATCTGCAGGGCTGCAACATGGTCCAGCTCTAGCACCTTCGCCAGTCACTACCAGTTGGACCTGATCACCAACAAGGACCAGGTGTTTGGCAGGAAGGTCTTGCAAGCGGCAGTACCGTGCTAATTTACGTATTCCTATTCAATCCTCTCATGTGAAGCTGTCTTGGAAGATGACTTGGGAAAATGCAGTTATTTACCTGTTAACTGTATTTCCAGGAATCTTCCAGGACAGCGTAGCTCCCTCCCGAGTACTGTATAGTCACATGCTGGCGTTCCGTCATTTAATGGACTAGACATATGTTGTTCCTACTGTTATCTTTGTGCTTTATCTTAGGCCTTCGTTTATATTCCTGTACTGCGAATCCCTGGGAATTAGGATTCGCAGTACAGGAATTTAGGAAAAAGTGGATCAGGTGTTTCCTGGTGGGAGGAGCCTATCTCAAGTGAAGCTGTCCTGGAAATTCATGGAAATACAGTTAAGTGTTTTTTGCTTGATGCTTGGAAATCAATGGGAAGTACATGTCGGCACACGTTAACAATGTGACAATGCACTTTAAATAGCACATCAATATGTGCCCTAGTGCATGCAACAAGTGATATACCTCATGATATTCATTGATGTGTGCTGACCTGCATTTTAATGTGTTAACTTGAATTTGTTAGCATTTTAACTTATTTCAGTGGAAAACGCATTGGGTAAAACAGCAAAGGTGTGAATTCAGTCAAAATCTGTAACCTCACAATGCGTGTTTTCCTTAGAGATGTTCAATATACACATACACAAAGAGACATTGTTACCATACCTTTTGTAGGGCAAAATGGCTGTATACATTTACTAAAACTGGAGCACTCAGAATCTGGTGCAGCTATGTATGGTAGCCAATCAGCTTCTAAACTCAGTTTGTTCAAATAAGCCTTGACAAAACCTGGAAGCTGATTCCTTTCTATGCACCATATTTTACACACTCCAGTTTTTGTAAATAACCCCTTAAGTGTCTTGAAGGGGATAAAAATGTTATATTAAATTCACCTCTCCCCTAGCCTCTGCCAGTGGTGCCTAGGCAAAGTGGATATCCTTTTTATTTTCCGGCTAGATCTGGAGAATGTAGATTACTTCAAATCTCATTGAGCAGGTGCTCCCTATGTGCAAAAAGCACCCTCTCATGAAATTTGAAGTACTCTCTGTTCACCAGGACCTCTTCAGAGTATAATGATGTCGCCCGCTGCAACAGAAAATCCAGAGGCAATGTTGGTATAATAGATTTTTTATTTATTTTGTAACTTTATTTCCTGAGTTTCAGCAAGGAAGTGGGGGGCTGGCAAAGTAAACAGACTTTACATGTACTACGTGATTGTATTACATTAATAAAAACTTGCAGCATGATTACTGACATTTTCAAAAGATCTTATGCCATGCTATTGCATAAAACCTTCCCAAGCTGGTGATGGTACTGCTGCTAAGCTCATTGACTGCCCATATATTTATGCATGGACTGCCAAATGAGATACAAGTCATCTGTGCTGTTAAATAACCTGCTTACTCAACCCACTCTGGAACTGAATAGGTAAAACTGGTAAAAAAGAAATTGCAGATTTTGCCATTTCTTGCGATAACTTTAATTACATTTTTGTTTTAATGTTCCTGGTGCAGTTAAAATAGTAAAGACTAACTTTTTCTTCCCACTGCTTTAATCAGTCCTTGTGACTTTGCAAACTTTAAACGGGAGAAATGAGCAATTGATTGAAAATGGTCACTACTGCATGTAGTGCAGTCTGTATGATAAATCTGAACATATTTGCTAAGATAAGAGGACGATTTATGTAAACCTGTGCTTTGCACATGCAGGGTAAAGCAACAGGTTTGCTTTATTGTCCCCTCTGCAGCAACACATCCTCACTGTTTCTCCATTTAGCCTTTGACTGCCAGGAAACAAATCCTTTTGTAAGCAGTCACTCTAACTGAAGCTTACACAGGGCCGAGGACTTTCCTTCTCACTTTGTGATAGTGCTGGGGCAAGCAACAAAGCTGTCACATGACAGGAAGAGGAGCAAGTTACATGGCCCTTTATACCTTAAAGGATAACTTCACCTTTGGCATGTTTCATAGGCTGGAACATGTAACATGTTCCCAGTGCTGCAGCTGCTGCTGTACGGGATGTACGGGCAAGCAGATATACTGACAGGTCTCCAGGAGACCTGCATGGCACCAGCGATCTGCTGATTACTGGTGCACTGCTTTACAGGCTCCTGCAACAAAAATAATAAATGCACATTTTTTTTACCAACAAAAAATGTATTTTTATTTTTGTCAAAAGGTGAACTTATCCTTTAAATTTCAAGGTATTTTCTTTGTTCTTGGTGTCAGAAAGTGAAGTAAAATGAGTATATTCGGTTGAAAAAGGAGATTTTAACCCCCATGGCGGTATTCTCGAGTGTAGCTCGGGGTTAACTTTCAGTACCAGAAGCGGTAACCCCGAGCTACACTCGAGGATTTCACTGCAGCGTTGCTCTGGGATCCCTCCAGCACTTACCTTGTCCTGCGCTCCCGCAATGTTTCCCCTGCAGTGTCCCCGGCCATGTCCTCCGGCGGATGCCGGCATCCGGGTTCCATTCCCTGCGAGTGTCGGGACTTACGGGTTGGAACCGGTGGGAATTTAAAAAATGTAAAAATTTGACATTCACTTAATACACTAAAATTTGATAGTATTACATTACTGTATCAAAGCATTTCACATACATTTTGTCCCTAGTGTTTTGTCCTGTGCCCTGCCTTCATTTTTACTTTTCTTTCTGCCTGGAAACTGATAAATGTCCATGGCATCCAAAAAGCATCCCTTTTAGGTCAAAAGCAGTTTTAGACCGGCTAGAGAACAGCGATAGTAAATTAGAACCACTTGCAGAATTGAGTGATGATTAGTGGGGAAATTCATCATCAGACACTGAAAACGATTTTGCGACTTTGCCCAGTGATGTGCGAACTTGGCGCTATATTTCAAATTTCAGTGTTTTTGGTTTGATTACATGATTGAATTAAACTTATTATTTTTTGATTATTATATTATAATTTATGATTTCATGTTTTAAATTTTATCATACTCAGGATCTTTACTAGACTCTTGTGACAGGTTTTAGTGAGTTATTCCTAAGAATTACAGGTCTACAATAAAAAAAAAATACATATTTTCGTTGAAAACAATGTACCGCTTTGAGCACAGAAATACTGACCTAATCAGACCGCTAGGGAGGTTAAAGAAAACCTGTTGCCTTGCCCTGCATAGGCAAAGCACAGGTTTTCTTTCAGTATATGCGAAACCCTCACCTTGTAAAACAATGCATTCAGTTTAAAATAGAAATGAAAGGCAAAACATTTGTGTATACATATAAAAAAAACATTATAAGCCTATTTTCCCCTCTTTTATATTAGTGGTCACACACCCTCATTTCTCAGCTGCATAAGGAGATTGGAGAACTGGGGTAGGGAAAGCAGCAGCACACTGGTCTTCCCAGTGAATGGTTGTGCAAGTTGGAGGGGGGTGGCATGTGAGCATGAGTCTGATCATTGGAGGAGTGCAAGCTGTCTCAGGACAGCTAGAAAAATGACCTGCCTCATGGGACTGTGCTCCCCTGCCTCATGGGACTGAGATTGAACTCTGCAGTGACTATTGCAGCAGTCTTTTTCTTATCCAGGTCACAATCCTGCGCAATGTCCTTCTGTTTCTTTCGATCAGTTGACCATGTTGACCGCACTTGCGCTATCAGACAGTGTGATCCCGGGAAACTGTATATGCCGTCATAACCTTTGATACTGTACCTCACAACACGCGAATAATTTGGCAACTTCAGTCACAGAGGCACAATCCAAGCGGGCACCAACAATTTGCCCTCTTTGAAGCTCCGTAAGCTCTGACATGACTCCGTATTAATAGCAGTGCACGCAGTGCATGACGAACGTGAGACTTCCCACCTGTTAGCTAGGTGTCTCATCACACAGCGGTAGCAAAAGAATATTACATCACTTCCACTATCTATCTATATATATATATATATATATATATGTGTGTGTGTGTGTGTGTATTTATTTATTTATTTATTTTAATACAATGTTTGTGATTGTGGTCCTAATCATTCACAGATCCAGCCACGCCAAACTTTGAACAAATTACCTCTTCAGGCTAATGTTTATCCAATGAGCACAATGGCTTATATTCAGGACATTTTCAATCGATTAACGCTGCATGCTGCACAGCCTCTTGGCATTGCCAGTTTGAGAAATGGTGAGTAGATAATAGTATTTGATTTATGCTATACTGCCTGACTTTTATGCTTTGACCAGGTTTGTTTTCTAGAAGTGACTTTGGCTAAGGTAATAGCCTTTTTAATGAATTGGAAATGAATGTTTATTCATTTCAAATTATTTTAATGGTACTGCCTGAATTTAGCAAGGATTACAGTACTACTACAATTAAATGTTTTTTTATTTACAGGATTTGGGCTATAAAGCTGTGGTTTTCCATCAGTTATGTTTTATTATTTTATTTAGTGACAGTTGTAACTTTGTGCAGTCATTTTCAGGTGAAAAAGCCTACAAATATATAAATAGATTTTGGGAAGAAAGTAGTATACTCCTATGAGATTAATGTATGAGTTTCTTCAGGGTAATCCTTAATCTATATCTTTACTGATAGATTGATTTGTGCTTAAATCTGGTTCTTTAAAGTCCAGGTCTATAGGAATGAAGTAGGAGCAGCATGTTTAAGTTCTGCCAGAGCAGGGATTGATGTAAGTGCCATATGTATGAAGTGTTGTGTTCCTAGCAAATAAGGGAAATATATTAACACCTGCTTTTATATTCTTCTAAAGTCTGCATTATTTCTCATTTTCAAGATTACACCACTATGAAACCTTACTAAATCTCCTCTTTTTATGCACATATCCATTTATTTTAGTTGTATGCTGGAAATACTTCTGTGTGGGTTCATTGGGTTAATGATCACCTTTCAACAAGATTTTGTTTTCTCAGTGTCTTATCAGTAGTTGTTGATCAATTTGTGATGGATTTGACTGAACTCGTTTGCTTCCTGTGTCCCTTATCTTAAATATTGATTGTGTGAAAAAGTCAGTCTGCAAGTATTAATTTCTGTTTATTGGTTACAAACCCATCAGACAGCCACCTTTACAGCATTTTTGCATGTTAACAATGGAGAAAGTGACTATTGCCTGTCTCCTTACTTTTATAAAATTGCTCAAGAATCAACTGTTTTTGGTAATAAAGTAATATTAAAGGTTACATTTTTTTTTGTCTTAAAATAAAAAAGATGTTATACTTGCCTGCTCTGTGCAATGCTATTGCACAGAACAGTCCGTTACCTCCTGTATGGTGGTCCCCTGATCCTTCTTCCTTTGGGTGCCCCCTTAGCAAGCCGAGTGCTTGCTGATAGACACCTGCAGCACCAGCAAGCCATGCCAGTGAATGCGTTGTGGTAAAAAGTGCTTTGAGTTTAGAACCACCTTAACTATTTCATACAGTGATCATGGTTACAGTTTGAGTTTCATATCACATTTCTGTTTTAAGAGCTTTTACCCATGTTTCCCATTTTCCTACATTTCGTTTTATCTCTTTTGCTTGGTAGTTGATAGTACAATAGTAAGAAAACCCCCATATCTGAGAACATAATTTGATGGGGAGAAAAAAAATGTTTTCTTGGGCCAGCCTCTAGCACCATAATTTCTACTTTACATACTTTACTTCCAATACAAATAGATTTTTACTGCTTTCCAGAAAAGAGGGTGTCATACCTATCAAGGAGGTGGAGTATAATGTAAGGGGTATATAATATTTTGTATGGTAAAGTGTCTTGTACCTGGTCTTGTAGGCAGTTCCAAAATTGGTGAAATACTGCTGACAGCTGAACGTTATTGGCTCCCTAAAAGCCAGATTAGCCTAACAGACATGTCTGCAGAGATGGGAAAAAATTGCTCTTTTCTAAGCTGCTGGCTGTTTCGCTTCTTTTGTTTTATTGCAAGCTTCACAATGCATATTAAGCCTGACATCTCTATCTGTTTTATGGAGAGAATGAAGGGAACATAATGTTAAACTATAATTTAAATGTAATGTTTCCAGACATTTGATTGTGTAAACCATTGCCTCATTTTACTCCCAAGGTCAGTTGGAAGTGTTCATGGACCGTCGACTGATGCAGGATGATAATCGTGGTCTTGGGCAAGGTCTTCAAGATAACAAAATCACATTTAATTTATTCAGGCTTCTTTTAGAGCAAAGGACTGGAATACATGAGGTTTGTAAGCATATTTGCCTTGCATGTACTCTGTAGCAAAGGGTGCAGTAGAGATTGCAATAGGAAGCACATACTTTCATTTAACTTCCCATCTGGTAACAAGCACATGCCCAGTTTCTCTCTGTAATTTCATAAAGCATACAGAATGAATGTGTGCTCTACCAAATTAAATACCTTTTCATATCTTAATTTCACATTTCCCCTAAGTTAAAAAAAACAATCTGACCATGAACACCAAATCTAATTCACATCTATCTTTTATTTGCAAGCTAACTTTTCTCCACAATGCTGATACTTTTTGATTTTGGTTTTTGATATCATTGGCACAACATAGACTTTGAATTGTAGCCAAACAGTATTGCTTTCCAAAACTGGTCTATAAAACGGAAGTGGGCACTAAGTAACAAATCTGGATGTCTGCATGTAGGCTATACACCGATGCAGCATTGCAAAAAAACAGGCAGGGCACAGTGCATTATGAGTATGTTATTTAGTAAGTTTCAAGTGTACTCTAAGGGACTTTAATGATATTCAGCTAACACTATAGGAACAAAAATCACTTTGTAGTGCAGTGCTATTGGAAAACTAGAGAAGAAACAATGCTTAATGTAAACCTGATGTGAGCATAAGCATCTGAAAACGAACAAATCCCTAATCAAAAGATATTAAATGGAACTTTAAACTTCCTATAGATTGCAGAAATCTTTCTGTATGTCTAGGGAGATTGAATACCTGGAAAAGGAGTGTAATTCGGTATTGCTACAGAGATGGCCACTCAATTGAAGGATATGGGAATGTAGGGCAAGACTGCAACTTGTGGATCAATCAGAAGACTGCATAAAGGTTTGCAGAAACAATTCTCTGCTCTTAGACTGCCTTGTAGATCATGAAGTTCACCCCATATGGACTGTGAACCTGCATTCACCTCTGAGATGCACAAAAGTTCCTGCAGGACATGGCTGGTAACAGACGAGGTCTGCATTGTGGTGGACTTCTATCCAAGTTGGAGGACAAGTGCAGACTTTAAGATCTTGGATCATCAAGTGCTGCCTCAGGACATTGTTAGTTTTGTACATTAGTGGTAATGCAGCATAATATTAAAATTGTCTTCTCCAACAGCTTCTGCTTCACTGTAAGGGTCTAGCTTTTCTTTTTTTTTTGGAAAAATCAGGAGCTCTTGTATAATATTTGCATTCTCAGGCAGCTCAGTCATTGCATTTTTGCTAAAGATTTTTTCCTGTAACCTTTATTTTCCTCTACAGGGTGAAGACAAAAGAGCTGTCAGTTACCCATCCCTTTTGAGTCATATAACATCAACCACCTTAAACCAACCGGTAATCTCAATGGCTGCAATGATGGACACTGATGCTCCCCCCACTACTAGATGCCTTCTCTCCTCTCATGTCTTCAATGCCTTGTGATGTTCACTTAGTTAATTTGCGAACTATTCAAGCAAAGGTATGTCACAGATCATACAGGACTAGGTTTACATTGTGATTAGTCTGTTGGAATTTAACAAATGAACCAATAGAAGGATCATACATTCTTCTATATAGAGTTCTTAATTGCAGTTTAGAATGTAGAAAAGCATTTGGAGGGTGTTACAGTTTGTTATAACTGATGTGCTCCTATTAATGGTTCCTTTTGAAGGGAAAGCAGGTAGTCTCATATTTATGTACAGTACTATGTAAAAGTTTTAGGCAGGTGTGAAGAAATGCTGTAAAGTAAGAATGCTTTCAAAATATGTATCTTAATTGTTTTAATCAATTTGCAAAATGCAAAGCGAGCAAACAGAAGAAAAATCTAAATCAAATCAATATTAGGTGTGACTTAAAATCAGCACCAATTCTTACACTTGCACACTTTTTACACTTGCACAAAGTCAGGGATTTTGTATTGTGTATTATTAACCAATTATACCAAGCAGGTGTTAAGGATCATCAATTTCATATGTAGGTTGAAACACAGTCATTAACTGAAACAAACAGCTCTGTAGGAGGCTTAAAAGTGAGGAACAGCCAAACTTTGCTACTAAGGTGAGGTTGTGGAGAACAGTTTCCTGTCGCAGGTCATGGCAAGACTGAGCACAGCAACACGACACAAGGTAGTTCTACTGCATTAGCAAGGTCTCCCCCAGGCAAAGATTATAAAGTAGACTGGGGTTTCAAGATGCTCTGTTCAAGCCCATTGGAGGAAGAAGCACAAAGAAACGGAGCAACGTAGACACTGTGTTCGGCCAAGGAAACAATGCAACGGATGAAAGACACAACATGCTTACCTTCCTTCAACTTCACAAGAATTCCTCAAAAATTGTGTGCAAGTGTACCAATAATTGATGCTGTTTGAAGGCAAAGGGTGGTCAAACCAAATGTTGATTTTAATTCGATTTTGTTTCTGTTCATTTACTTTTTCTTAACTCATTTAGTTAATTGAAAAAAATAAACTATTAACACTTCTATTTCTGAAAGCTTTCTTAATTTACAGCATTTTTTTTTTTGCACACCTGCCTGTTGGCTAGGTAGGTTGCAGTAGTAGGCAGGTGAGACTTCTTCCATGTTTCCCTCCTAGTTGGGTGCCAAATATGGGGCACATAGGAGGCCTACCGGGGGGTGGGTGGGTGGTTTTAGGTTATGCTAGGCATCAAGAGCAGGATCGCTGCCTCACATTTGGGGTACCTATGCTTTGATATTTGGCGTGTCAGTGTACAACTTCACTGTAACTTGAGGCACTTAGGAGAAACATGCTGAGCCTTTGCCCACTCCACCAGTCCAGTGTATCTCCACTACCTCACTCCCAGTAACTGAATGGAACCCGCTGTGCACCTAGCTCGGGCTCTATGCTTGTAGTCACTTAACTCTTTCTGTACCGTGTACAGGCCAGAGCGTTGATCTTCTCCCCTTGCTATGGGAGACAGATCACTAGGGGGGATATGCCGATAACACTCCCTTACTACAAAAGGATGCCCCACCTGTCACAGGTACACACTTAACAGGCTGCTTGCTTGGACCTCTGTTACCCCTGGTAACCACTTGCTGTCTTCATACTCCAATGTGTCCTAACTGACCAGAGCTGTAGACTGTGTGATGGTTACTTGCATTGCACTGCTTTAGTAAATTCAGACCAGGCAAGGACAAAGTTTCAAAAGTTTTACTTAAAAATTCTAAATATAACACAGTTCAAAGTACAATACTGTAATTTCCATACTTCCCTATTCCCTATCTCAGACTTGTATGCTGCCCTGGCATACCTGCATAGGTAAAGTCCATTTGCAACAGAATCTGATAGCTGGTGTCTTCAGGGAAAACTAGCAGTCTTCGTACATAGTGGAAGGCTTTGACAAATAAGTCACCTTGGACTCCAGCATCGGTGGTGACATCCAGCTCACAGACCACGAACTACGGAATCCAGATCTTTTGTAATGCAAGACTCAGATACCCAGCAACTACGCTGCTCCCTAGGCTCCGGACAACTCTCCCTTTTTATAGATACAGGATCAGTGGGTCGGACCCAAGAAAGCCCACCAAGGAAAACCCTGGAAATAACATTAACCCTGGCCCTCCCGTCTGGGGCAGCACCTATATAGGCTAGCATAAGCAAACTGCTTACATGCCTAAAACTTTGCACAATACTGTATATATATTTTTTGCTAAAGAGATGGGAAATCCAAAGTGTCTCTGAAAAGAGGCAAGAGATCTTCCAGTGAGGAAACTTGTTCAGGTAGCAGCTATGTAACTTTGGATTTTTGCACTTTTAGAGATTTTTCCTCTCATTTTTAAATGCCCAGAGGGACAAAAATAAACAACCGGGTAGAAATGTTTCGGTTACACATAAACTTTAAAGATGGACTCTGAGCAAGTATTAAATTTTAATATTGTAATTTTTTTTTTTCTAATCTAAACTGTGAAAGTTCCTTATTCTAGTTTATTGGACTCTTGCAATCTCCAAAGGCAGTACTCAGACTAGAAGTAGCATTTTTTTTTTTTACTTTTTCAATTATATCAGCACCCCAGTTAGCTCAAATTTGCTCCGAGGAACTGCACTATCCTTCTGTCATCCTTGTCTTGGCAGAAACCAGTCTATGAAATCTCAAGTTGTACAACAGGCAGACTCTGGGTCTTTTCTTCAAAGTAGGAGAATTTTTGATACAGTATCTGCAATAATGAGGAACATCTGGAAGTTTTCTTGAGTCAGATCTATTGGAGAGAGCCTGGCTTGCAGATCTTTTCAGTCTAAAAGAATTAACTGTAGGCAACCACTAACTTTATTTTAGTAACAGATCTAGGCTTACACATACAAATCATTTTAAAAAAGCAGTGTTTGGTGACCAGCATCAACCTGCATGAGATCCTGTATCAGCTTTCCCAGGAATTCACGGATTGCATAATTAACATGCTCTCCTTGTCTTTCAACAAAAGTATCTTTAAAGTCTGCCTTTTTTACATATTACACCCGTATTTAGGATGGAACATTTTTTTATAATAATGCGCCTGCCCACAGCACCTGCCATAAACCCCCCCCCACCCCCACTGTGACGGCTGGCAGGGAAACCTTTCCACACACCCACTGTCACAATTTGAATATAAATCAGTCATTCACAGAGATCTGTGATTGAGTGAACTATAAGTACAGTCATCCACCACAGCAGTGGCTTGTTCTCCATGAACTGCAAGGTTTCTGGTGATCACTCTTTTAGTTCATTAATTTCTTCCTGCAACTCAGTAATTGGCTGCCCGTATGAAGCATTCTGAAGCACCCTGGCACTGTGCCCCCAATTTGATGTGCACAGGTGCAGTGCTTTACAAGCTGTAGTGTTAAAAAAAAAAAAAAACAATAAAAGCACTTTTTTTTTTTTTTTTTTTATTTTGTAAAAGGTCCCATTGCAGGTTAATGTCATAGTGTGCTAGTTATGCACCACATACTAGCACAACTTACTTGTAAAGCAGATCCCTCTAGGGCATGCTGTCACCACTGACAGGGCTTTAATCTTCACCTGGTCTTCCTTACGGGTTCACGCTCTCCAGCCATTTCAATGGTCTGGCCATGATGATGTCACTACTGCACATGTGCACAGGAGTCATGATCGCAGCACAGCGCTGTGAATGGACAACACACGAGAGTGCCATCTATCCAGAGTGCAATGTGTATGTGCCTGAGACATCACCGGCTGCTACGCATGTGAATATTTCCTAAACGGTTCACGGTGCCAGGCATTCCAATCATATGACCGCTGTGATTGGCTGCCACAGCGGTCACATGATCAGAAGCTCCTAATTGCAAATATGCATAAGGAGCTTTCTGTGACATTTTAGTTATTTTGCTAGGATCACGCAATGAGCGTGCTTTCAAACCAGAAAACCCTTCATTATGGATGCATATATGCGGCTGCCTTAAAGCCCACCCAGAGGCTGCATGTATTGCAGACAGCTGGCGGGAAGACGTAATGTAAAAATAAGTGTTGATCTTATCAGAAATCTTTTCAGCTGCTTTTTTTTTTTTTTTTTTTTACCGTTCGATTATGTTGATTGTATGTAGTCAACCTATAGCAAGAAATGTTAGGCAGGCCATACATTATACAATTTTCTTGTACAATTTTCCTTTAAATTTACTAAAACCACATAGTGAGGTCAAACCAAAACACTTTCTATTTGTATGCAATCAGGCAAACCCTTGTACTACATAGTTGATGGTAAATATAAAGGACATTAAATAAGAAAATTGTATGACCAGGTTTACACGTGAAAAAAAAAAAAAGAAAATGAATGCAGCCTCAACATCTAATCTGCTTTTATATTAAATTTTTATTTTGGGTTCTGAACCACCTTGATTGCTATTACCTGCAGCCCTGATCAGTTAGGAAAACCTACTTTTTATGACCGAATTAGAAAATTGCATAATCTAGGTCTTTAGTTTTGCTATTTAACTCCGTTTTCAGTAATCTTCCAGGGCAGCAGACTTTCCTCACTTCTATTCTCTATTTTTTTTTTGTTTTTTTCCTGCTATATTTTAGCTCTCTTCTAACGTTGACCAGTTTTAGCAGGTTAGTCCTTTGGGTTGATGTTATGTGTTTTCTATAGCTAGTGGTCTAGGTTACCAAGCAAGATAGTAGTTTTATTTTAAGCTTCCAAAAATTTTATCAGCAGCCTCAGTTTCTTAGCTTGACACAATTTTAAACCGTAATTCTGTTTTCCACTTATGACTGGCATGCTTCTGTACCATGCTGTTTTCTGTATTGATTACTGCCATGTATGACTGTGTAGTGAAATATAGGTGGGCAGTTTAAATTTATCTCTAAGGCATAGATTTGTTTAGTTTCATTTGAACTATGCAAAAAAAATTAGTTATGCTTTTTTGGCATGCCATTTGTTATAAATATATTGTAAATAAAAATGAATGCCACTGTTGTGTCAAAAGAATATTTCTAAACTAATGTCTTTATGCTTGCATTCAGGTGGGGCCATCAGAAGAGGCAGCACTGATTTTGCATAGGAAAGGATTTGACTGCATGTTTGCAAATAAAGAACTTGGGCTTTTCTGCTCTACATCTCAGGGAAAGGTATTTCACTTCAGAGAAGAGAACTGCAATTTTTTTCTGATACCTTAGCTTTTGTGAACTGTAGGTCTTAGCTAAACATGTATGCTGCATGTAGCAGAGCCACTAAATCTAATTCTAAAATGTAAAGTTTTAAATGTTTGTTTCGAAGGCCTAAAATACATTGGTTAGAAATGTATGTCTCACATACAAAAAGAACCTTCATGGGGGGTGGTTGACCATGTGAGCATGAAGAAGTATCTGCACTAACCAAGTTAATATTTCTAGCTTATCCTGATCCCCGAATGCCTAAACACACTTATGTCTAAACAGAGAAGATCCCAAAGACCTTCTGACACCTTGGTAAACACTAACATCCAACAGTATCGAGTGCCTGCGGTTTTAAACACCAAGATTAAGGCAGAGCAAGATGGTGCTGACTCCGTCTTCTTCCCATTTGGCTTTGGGAAAGCAATGACTTGCCCAACAATGATACTGAATCTTCAGCTCTGCCATGATCAGAGACTAGAGACTCTCCAATGGTATTTCTGGAACTAGATGTCCCAAGTTCCCTATTATTCCTCCATCTGTTTCATGGCCTCTAGAGACACAAAGACGCCTTCTGTGCCCATTCTGAATGACCTGCTCTGTTGCTATGAGCTCTCCTCATAAGTGGACCCGGGAATGCAGAAACAACTGCCTACCAGAGAAGACTTGGATATATCGGCTCAACAGTTCAAACTTTTACTGCAAAAAGAGAGAACATTATGCAACAAGGCACCAATAACGAGACTAGGGTGCCTGCCCTTGAGACCACTTCCATCTCACAGGAGTCATGGTTGGTCACTCTTGAGACGATAACAGCTGCCCACCCAATGTTGCAGGCAGAAGACAAAGAAAGCAGAAGTCGCTGGAATAACATCAGGCTTTGAGGCATCCTGGAGGCTACATTGGAGACTGACCTTAAAGCTACCATTGTAGTCATACTTAATCTAATTCCAGTTCTGCAGTAGGTGAATTCCCCAGAATGTTGAGTACATTGCACCCTGAGGTTGTGCAATACCAGATCTGACCTCCTCAGAGCATGCTATTCTGGTCGCATCCTTACATGACCAAAGAGGAGATCATGATGCAGGCAGGGCAATTGAGTCTCATATTCTTCATACATCTACTGCTTGATTTGTCCTGACTCACCCTGATGATGAGACGAAAAGTAAAGTCCCTTCTAAATCTGCTGCACAGTCAGAATGCATCATACAAAATGGAGCAATCCTTTCTACTCTTTGATGAGAAAGGCCTCTGGAGTCTTTGCCATCCACCAATTCCCGACTTGTTTGTTTAGCTGGAAGGAGCTTCAATGTCACTCCTGAATTACTTGCCGCTAGATTTGCCTGCAGCATATCCTTCTTCCACAATACACCAGATGCCCTGGATCGAACACCAACTGGGCTGATCCACTAGCAACTCCTGGATCCAGTAAGCACATCACAGCATTCACATTCTCCATTAAGCTATATTCTGAGCACCCATCTTCTCCACACTACACAGATGAACCCAGGAGATCCATATTTCTACCACCCAATGGGTACAAATTGAAACCCATGCCCCACTTCTCGCAACTGAACACCCGCACGTTTCACCAAGGGAGGGTTGGATTGTGGAGATATTACTTTGGCTATATATCCTCCTATGGCTGCTCATGAATACCTTTTACGTGGTTTGTAGTCCTTCACACTGTATTGAGCTAATTGCACCTAGCCAGAAAGGTTAGCCAATACTCCTCTCCTGGATGGTCTGTTCTATCTGACCTCCCCACTATAAACTGGATTCCCCCCTATAAGACCACACTGGGATCTGATCTGCACTGTTACAACTTTATTCACATCTCCTGGGAATCCGTGTATACAGTGATAATATACTAACAGTCTGGTGGACACCCTGTGGAATATCTGTTAATGGAAAGACCTGGGTTTAATTTTTAGTCAAAGTATCTCAGTACTGACAATGGTTATATATTTTGTAAGTTCAGTTACAACATGTTAAGAGCTTTAAGGTTTAGGTTTTACCTTTTTAGAAATTATTACCACAACAAATGCACATCTTTATTACAACTTAAAATTTTCCAACCACATTACATCTTAGATTGTTTGATCTATGATCAGGATGCTACTCAGGATCTCCACTCCAGGGTAATCCCTTTTCAAGGAAGTAAGGGCACATCTTGACTGTTGAATATTGTCCAAAATTTTCATTGTCTATTACATTTTGACATGGGGCCTACTGCATTCACAACCACTGAGGAGACATACTTATCAGTTAAGCCTCACCGACACAGGAGACCTTTAATGCAAGGTGATCTGTCCAATGGTCACAAGCTGGGTATTGGAAGAGGCCCTGAGGGGTTTGTGCCTCCCTCAGTAGGTTGGATAGAATCCTCATTAACTTCACATCATCTATTGATCCAGGAACCATGACCCATTATCAGTGGTTGAGGTTAAATCGCCATAGATTTCAAATTTACCAGCGGAATAGGGATTGTTTAGTCACATTTTAATGTAGCAATATCGCCAATCGGCAGTTTGACTCGGTTATTTCTTTGCTTGCCTACCCTACCACATGCAGACCTTACATCTATCTGGTGTGTGTAAATTTAATAAACACTTGTTTAGATTTCCCCCCTATATGACTTCCCCTCTCACTTCCCTTCTTCCTCATCTGCTAGTCCTTCCTCACACTCCTAGCCCCAGCCCACCTCATGCCTTAACACATCCTTCACAACCTTCTGTCCATTCCCTTTGCCCTACCTAGGTCTGAGCTTATCTTGCTCCCCCCCCCCCCTTCCTGCATTAGACCCCCACCCCACCTCCTCTGGATTCCAGCAATGGGGAAGATGATCATAATCTCACTAACGCAAAGTGTTTAAACACCACGAGACCAGAGTCCCCCTCGACCTGAAGAGAATGCATGTACAAATTGCATACATTCAAGAAACTAATTTTAAGAAGAACAAAACTCCCTGTCTGCGAGTTTGCTATTTCCTGACATCCTGTCATACCAATACCAGAAATTTTAAACTGAAGGGGGCTTCCATTCTGATTTTCTGCCAGGTTCCTTGGACATTACTTGATTCCAAGCGTGAGTAAAATGGCAGATACCTCTTTCTCAAAGGCCTGATAGGCTCCACTAAAGTCACCTTAGCAGCAATCTATGGCCCATATTCTCACCCAGATTGCTTCCTGAAATCCATTATGGACAAGCTATCCACCATCTCAGAAGGGATCCCCATTGTGGGGGGGCGACTTGAACATCCTGCTGAATCTGATACCTGATGCAGATGTTTTATCTAATTCCTAACCCATCACCCATGCCACCTGTAAAGACATTCTCCATTCCCTACGTCATACACAATATTTTGCAGTTCTACCACAGAGACACAGCAGACTGTACCCGCTATTTCTCTCCCCACAAAGTTTATTCCCTTATCTATTTGTAATCCTGCATCAAGGCATCCACTATTCACTAAATTCAACATAGGAAATATCACTTTGTCAGATAATTTTTTTTTTTTTTTTTTGCTCAAATGAACCACAAGTCAACTGCCCTACCCTGGCACTGTAGCTTGAATGAAAACCTTCTCCAAGACCCCAGATCCTAACAAATGTACTCAAGAAGCTAGGTTCATTACACGTCAGTGAACAGTGATCCCAAGCTGGTATGGATGACACACAAAGCTTTTATCAGAGGTGTCTAAATTAAACATGGACCAAGGGCGAGTCACTATCTGGAATCCAACCATAAAAATAAACAATATACAGAGAGAGTGTGTTGAGTTCTCTGGAAAAAAAAAAACATTTAAATTCTCTCAACTTATAAAGAGCTAAGGCAGCTCTTCCATGTTGCAAGTGTCTATACTATGAACATTGCAATAAATGTAGCCACCTTTTAGCCAAAGCCCTCCAAGATCTGCACCTACCTCACGGTGCCCTCAATTCACTATCCCACTCACAACATTTAAAAATTTCTAAAAGCTAACCTATCTGTTCTCCCCAAGGACAATAAAAGATCCATTGTCTTGTGCTAGCTATTGCCCAATCTCAATTAAATATGCTTTTCAAAATATTCACCAAAATGCTAACTACCTGTGTCTGTCCACCCCGTACTACACTTATACATTTAAACCAAGTTTGTTTTAAGGCTGAAACAACGAATCAACATAATCAAATGTAATTGATAATTAAAATAGTTGTTAATAGTCTTCATTCTTGATTAGTTGGTCAGCTAATTAGTTGGACTGCATACAGAGTGCATGATTTGTTTACATGTTACATTTGTTACTCGATACACCGTTCATGTATGTCAAGTGCCTGAGAACCAGTGAATATAAATGATTTTTTACCTTAAAGTGTTAGTAAACCCAGGACCCTGCATTCACTATATCTGGTCTCCCACAGTACATGAAAATGCAATTATTTTAGTAAATATAAACTGCTAAATACCTTTTCTCATCAGCAGTTAGAGCAATCTTGTGACTTATATCAGTGTTCAGCAGAGCTCTGGTTAAAGCTTGCAGGAGGAGTTTTCTCTAGGAGGATGCAGAGCGTCTGACTTATGTCTGGGCAGTGCTGATTGGCCCTGTGCTGATCACATGCACACTCCCAAGGAAAAAAAAACAAAAAAAAAACTCTGTAGCAATACACACCAAATTGAGCGTGTGCAGTGTCTCCACACCATATTTCTTATCAGGAGATTAGAGGGAGACACTGGAAGAATGGGAGGATCAGAGAAGACAGGATCAAACAGCCTTTTTACAGAGGATTAACCCCTTAGGTTCCACATAACAAGCATGCTTAACTGCATATACAGACTGATTTTACTGTTGTGGGTTTAGTAACACTTTTTAATGCAGTCTCTGTGGCCAGCTCTCAGCCCCCTTTTATTATACTTAACCTGATCTCAATCTTGCTCTGTGCCTCAATGCTGCCCTCTCTCTCCCTCCTCGCAGGACTCAGATGCAGCAGTGGGAGCCATTGGCTCCTGTTGCTATTAATTGTAGCCTGTGAGGAGGTAGTGGGGGGGCTAAATTGCACAACACATTTATTTTTCTTTAAGGTTTGTATCTGAATAATTAATCAAAACAATCGGCCATCTAATTGATTATGAAAATACCATTATTTGCAACCCTAGTTAGTTTTCTGCCAACACAAGAGCCCCAGAATAATACAACTAAAATACTTTGAGCCATACCATACCATACACTGATCCATGCAGCTAATTCCGTCTCTGACCCATGCCTCCTGTTAGCCACTGATGCCAAGAAGGCATTTAATTAGCTGGAACTTCATGTTCTCAGGTCCATATTGGTATAAGATGCAGAAACAGATCCATTCCATGCTGACAGCATTAGTTAAAGTGAATGGAGTCTTCTGATGTCCCTTTTTTCATTTTGAAAGAGACAAGGCAGGGCCGCTGCCCCGTGCTTTTCCTTTTCCTGCTTTAGCCTAGATCCCTTTCTATGCAGAATCAGAGATAACCCAAACACTCAAGGCTTGCAAATATGTAAACATAAAATATTGGCATTTGTCAATGACCTCGTATTCTCCCTGACCAAGCCTATCTTCTCCCTTCCCAATGTACTACAGGAATTTGTAGTCTTCCCATCTGATAATAAATATTGCAAAATCTGAAACAATAGAGGGCTATCAATACCAACCAACTTGAGAACCCCATTCCAACAAAAGTTTAAATTTAAATGGGCCTCAAAGGCAGGTAAATATTTGGGCACTTACATTCCATTTTACCTGAAAGATACATTCTCTATAAACTTCCCACCACTCCACTGTAACCTAAAACTATTGCTAATGAAATGGCATGGGGCAGTCATCTCATGGTTTGGACACTGCAGCATCATTAAGATGGCAATTCTTCTCAAATTTCTCTCTCCTGCAAGACCCTACCTGTACACATCCCTTCCTCTTACCTCAGAATAGTTAACATCACCCTTAGTAATTTTTTCTGGGAACCCTGACATTTCTCCAGCCACACAAGACTGACACAGATCATTAAGCTACCTCCTTTTTTAAATGCCTTCATAGAATGACATTTCAAATATTCCTTTTGTTACTGATTTTGTATCATATTGTACCATAAAACACGCATAAAGAATTAGAAAATAAAAACTGTACTGTATTTAATGCAATCAATGAAACCATGCAACCAGAGATATATTATATTAGTGAAACAAGACTGATTTACAAAAAAAGGAATGAATCAATAAATACACACCATAAAGAACATAACAAAGATATCTGCTTCACTTATGAGAGATATCATTGCTCACAACCAGACCCACTGTATGGAAGACATAAATGCTTTAGTTCTTAAAGTGGACTGAAAACTCAGATTAAAACTTTGACCTGATCATTCTGTCTGATGCAAGAGAACTACTAAATATGGATCTCCACCTTCTAATTCAATATCACGGTTTTGATTATTCTTACCTCTGCAAGTCCCTTCCTGCCTCCAGATTTCCATGCCCACACAGGGGACAATTCGCAAAGCAGTATCTTACTGCATCCAAGTATGCGGTAAGATACCATACAGCATTTTTTAAAAATGTTGATGGCATGTGGCCTTGTGTAGTTGTATGCACCGACATAACGCAAGCAACAACCTTTGATGATTTCTCTCCACTATCCTTTTTTTTTATTCCTCCTAGAGATTGTTGTCTTTCGCATTTTTTTTTCTTAAAATTTTACTACACCTTTATTAGCATTGCTTACCTGCCAAAAAGAGTGAAAATTTGAAATATTTGTCCTGAAAATTTAACTGTCAGTGCAAATAAAAAAAAATTATCATGGACAGTACTTAAAAGCTAAATTTATCTTTGAAAAAGGATAATAAATGCTCATATTTGTGCAGGAAAAAAAATTTTTTTTTTTTTTTTCACAGGAGCTTGCAAAGCATTGCACCCGCAATCAGTGGATCATGGGAGCAATGCCAGGCTCCTGCAAACTCTTCCTCCAGCTTTATGCCCATTCTTCTGTATGGGCTCTAAGTTGGAGAGCTCAATGGACTACCAATCTGATGTTGCCACCAACGATTTCGAAAATCGGTTGTTTTTCACAAAGTTTTCCGGCATGATCGATAAACGAAATGAGGAACCACAAAAATCGGCCAATGCCATTGCCCAACTAACAGTGTGAAAATCGGCCAATTATTCTTTCGGACGAAAAATCGGCCGATTGTCGAACCGTCTATGGCCTGCATTCGTTTATTCACAGCTGTTTGTTCATGCATGATGCAACTGTGCAGGTGGAGCCCCATTCAGCCACACTGATTTTGAAAGTGATAGCTTTTATTTTTGTAGTCCTGATTAGCAGCTGTCTCTCTCTGTTTGTCACTATTGCATCACAGCTGTTTATTATATTGGTAATTATCAATTATTCTGATCACAAAGTTTATTATGAAGAGAAAATATAACTATGAAGTGCCCTTTAATTTGAAAAAAAAATTAAAAAATCAGTGAGAATTGATTGTGCTTTTCTTTGTTTTCAGATTTCGGTTTATGAACTTTTCAGTGCATTTAAAGTTGAGAGTCTCAGATCATCAACTTTATCTTTAATGCATACATCTACAGATGCTCAAAACATAAGCACGATCACCATGAGCCCCATGGACATTAGCACATTTCGAGTAAAACTGAGATGAACTTTGCTGTAAGCAACAACTTTCTCTTATGTGTTTTACATGCAATAAAGAAGCACATTGCTATACCAGCTTCTGGACACTGTGAGGATTTGATTTCAACGTTTTCTGTTGACAACACCTCCAAGAAAAGCCATGTTTTATCCACCTTCATCCCGTACATGAAGTATATTTTTTTTTTCTTTTTTTTTTTTTTTCTAAAGAACCTGAACTTAGACTCTTTAATTGATTTCCTTTGTTCTCTCTAAATTCTAAAGTTGAGTATTATGATGGTAAAAATATACTTAACAAAATGTTTTCTCTCAAGTGAAGCAAGTGGCCAAATAATTGTTACAATTGGAGAGCCACAGAATTTATATTTAAAACAAAATGCAAAGAACATGTGAAACATTGGAGGAAGTAGGTCAAAGACAACTTTTGTTAAAGTTACCAGTCTGTATGTTGCCAAAAGCTGTTTAATACGGTGTCAAGGTAATTTATTTAGATTACTGTAAAACCGTCCTGTCCCTTCAGTTTTAACTGGTTTCTGTGTAGGATAATGTCCTTCTCTACATCCTTCCAGCATTCCACTCACCCTAGCCATGGTTTGTCACAGTCTCCTTTATAGCTTTCAATTTAATGTGCCAACTTACCTCTCTTGGAACTGTGTGGCAATAAAATAAGTTGAGGAATTGGTTGGCAAAAAGGTAATCATATGTCAGCCTGCACAAGTAAGCAGTCTGTTCATTAATTCCAGTCAGATTAACAGTTGTTAACAAATGCTATACATTGGAAAAGTGTCCGATGGGCACTTTTTCATAAGTTGGGGAACATTTATAAGTTCTGTCACAATGCAAAGCAGTGCTAAACTGGAGCAATGAGACAGATTTATTATAATTGGGCAGTCTTATTTATAAAAATCCTCCCCCTGCTGCTTTGAAAGTAGCACTGTGACAAAACAAAGCCTTCCCGTTAATACTTCATAATTGTGTATGTTTTAAGTTTATATATGTCTCCTTTCCAGTGGTAATTCAGCTGTATACCTTTGCAACTTGCTACTCAGGATTTTCAGGCACAGGGGTTGCAGATACAGATATAAACTGTTACATAAACTTTACAGACAGGCAAGCCTGATTTAAGTGCAGTTTTGTTTCTAATTTGCTTGATAAATGTTTCTCTGTTTTTTGGCTATCAAGCTTTCAATCACACTCTCTCGTGTGATAATAAATCCAATCCACATTTGTTTAGTTTTATGTGGTTAAGCAAACGTGGAGATATACAGCATTTTCCTTTTAAAAAATTTAATTTTGCCCATCTAACATCACCATAAGAAAAATTGCTTTTAATAATACTAGATCATAAGTGCTTGATCTGTATTTATAAAGCTGTAAATGTTTGGGTTTTTTTTTTTTTTTATTAATCTAAAAGTGTGATTCAGAAATAATACTTTAGCAAAGTGTGTTCCAAAGAGAACATGTCACATTCATTATAATCTTAGTCTCTGCTATTAAATTGTTAAACAGGACAGCTTTACCTCTTGTCCTGTATTCTCCTCTTTCCTTTTTCAGGAGATCAGTTCAGTGTTGGGCCGAATGTCCCTACAGCAGCTGTCCTATATCTTGCCTCAGATCTGTGTGAAAAGCAGCTACTTGGAACATTAAAAGGTGCTCTCTGGGTTATATGAAAGAAAGCTAAGACAGGTGATTAGTAGCTCAGTTGTACTATAAAATCACTAAAGATAAATCAACATTAACAAATGATAAACTGATGGAAAGATTGGTTTGCTGTGCTATAATCTACAAAAGTAGCATATAGTAGTGAAAAATATTGTGTGATTGCACAATGCTCTAATTGTGTTCAGTTGATCACATTCTATATGCATCTTGTGTAGCCTAGACAGTAGCAAGCCAATTGTTCCATCTGTTTAGCAATAAAACGCTAGTGCAATTGAGCTTCTAAAAAAGACATGTATAGCAAGCCTAATTGCTTTGACATTTTTGCCATTCCTAAGCAGCTTGAAGAGAGTATATGTTCTCGGCATTGAGCTGAGGATAGAGATTCAGCTACTTCCAGGGCTTACCTTCTGACACTGAGCTGATGCTTTTGCTCTAAGAGGTAACCTTTTTTAAAGAAAATGATTATCCTGAGAGGTAAAGCTGCACAATTAAAACAAATTCAATAGAAATTTAAATGTTTATGAAATTCTTTGCTTATCTTTAAAGTTCTGCTTAAATAATTTTTACTATTTTGATTTGTAAGCAAAAAATTGTTTGGCTATATTTATTTTCTTTCTTGGGATGCCTGTAATCAATAGTTCAGAAGAAGAGGACTTTATTTAGAAGAACATTTAACCAAAAATAAGAAATTGTACATCACAGCAACCTTTTGAGAAGAATAGTTGTTGAATTTTGATGGCCTATGATTTTTTTTTTTTTAATGTAAGAACTTATGTGCAATCTTTTTTTTTTTTTTTTTTTTTTTTTTTTTTTTTTTTTCTGCTCATTGTTGTTCAGTGATGAAATGTATTACCTGAAAGTTTGGGATTTGTGCAATTTTACCATTGCTTTTTCAACATGGAGGTGATTTAGATATTCAGAGGTCCAGTTGAGGATTAATGTTTATCTGCTTCCTAAATAACCATATCAAAAACAATGTGCCTTATTTTTTACATTTCTTACAAGTTTAATGACAATTGTGTTTTGAAGAGTTGGTTTCTGTTTTTTTTTTTTTTTCTTGTTGTCTGAACCCATGACTCTCGGCTGAATGTGTGCTTGTGTTATAATGACATTGTGGCAAACTGAATGTACATACCTTCCATTTTATACCACCAGTTTAATGAAACACATTCCTTTATGTACATTAGCTAATGCCAAGGAATTTAATTTCTTCACCAATCAAAAGCTGCCATCAATTTTTTTTTGTGCTACACCAGTTGTAGGCCACTGTCAATTTGCATGCAGCTTAGAACTACTACAGATTCCGTCATGCCTTAACAGCAACAAGCAACTTCCTAATGCTGTGTTCCTGTAAGAGGATAGCAAGAACTACTTCACATACAGATAATTGATTACATAATTGTCACGATAAACATTGCAAATATTAAATAAATTGGTATTCCAAGTATTTGCAAGTACATGTATTTTCTTTTACTAAAGACCAATTTCAGCTGAGAATATTCTCTCTGGATTAACAATTCATTCAAAAGTTCATTAATATGTAGTGCCGTATACTTATACCAAGATCATATTTAAAAAAAAAAAAAAAAAAAAAGAATCCTCCATATATAGTTTTAATAATTGGAATTTTTATAGATAACAGGGTTTTTTCCAGCTTTGTTGATAAATTACATTTTTCATGAAATATTTGCATTACAACAATGTAGACTTTCTTTTTTCACTCTTTTTTTGTTTTATCTGACAGCCAAAACCTAACTCTTTTGTGAAGCTGAGGGCTTCCTTAGAAAATAAAAATGTAGTATAAACCACCAGCCTTAAAGCAGACCTTTCACCCCACTGATAACAGTAATAAAAACCAAGGCATTTATTTAAATACAGCACTTGCATTTTTCAGCTACCTGCCTACTAATTCGGCCTGGTAGCTGGTGATAGTGTCCTTCTACAGCCTTTTGCGAAGGCTACATCACCAGAGCTTGAATGTAGATTTTGGAACCGTATTAACTGATCTCATGAAATTTCAATTGTGCTTGTACAGAGATGCATATGTTTGTGTAAGTACAAAGGAACTCTTGCCAGAGTTCACGATTGTATGCCTGAAATCTGCCTTCAGGCTCTGATGATGTAGAATTCTCAGAAGGCTTTGGGAAGCCACTGACTGTCACGTTTGACCTAGGCTTCTGGCATGGTAGTAGACGATTGATAAAAGTAAGAGCTGTTTGTGCAATAACTGCTGCGGTTTTGATTACCATTGCACGATATCGTTTTTTGGATTGGGGTTAGGGTGACACAGAAAGGTGGTTACATTAATGCTGAAAAGTCCACTTAAAAGTTGGGTGATTATATAAACGTTAAGATATAAAACTGTTCTAGAAAACATTTTGGAACAATACATTACTCATTTTAGATTATATTAACAAGTCAGTTCACCCAAAATCAATTATAAATGAAGTCTGATGTGTTAATTAGCTTGCAAGCTTCTTGCTTTTCTTGTGGATGGCAGTGATCAACTCACCTGAGCACAGTTTCTGGCTCCCTTTCCTCTTTGGGGGCTAGTTATGAATGAGGATGTTTGTTCCTCTAGCTGCATTAACTATAATATAAGGATAAAAAAAAAAAATCAAAAATACCCTATTTATTGCCTTGGTACATGTGCAGAGAAGAACTCTCAAGCATCTGCCAGATATAGAAACATTTTGTTTTTTTAATTTTGGGTGGATTGACTTGTTTATAGAATGGATTATTACTCTTGTATTGTAATATGTTCTTGCTTTTGACAAATGAACAAATCTCTCAAATGGAATTTTTTTCTTACTATTCCTATCTCCTTTCCAAGGGAATGCCACATAACTCCTACATGCCATAACTGCAAGTATTAAAAATATTGTGAATGTTCTTTTTCTTAAGAAATGATCACTCTCTTGCTGTTTTGTCTGATTGTATATTTTTGTCTCAAAATTTCTTGAAACTGATTAAAGCTTTTGATAATTTCTCTAATGTTTTTACAAATAAAATGGGAGCTGTAAAATATTAAAATTATCTTTAATAAGAATTTGTCCTCGTTTATTGACTTATTAGATTTAAGGATGGATATGCCAATTCCATTTTGAAAAAAAAATAGTTATTACTTTTAACTAAATTTTTTTTTCAACAGCTTTGCATTTGCCCTCAGAGGTTTGTTAGAGAACATTAGTTGACAAACCGCATCATGAAGGCCAAGGAATACACTAGACAGGTCAGGTATCCCAAGTGTTGAACATCTCACAGAGCACTGTTCAATCCATCATCCGAAAATGGAAAGATTATGGCACAACTGCAAACCTACCAAGACATGGCCGTCCACCTAAACTG